GAGAGAGAGAGAGAGAGAGAGAGAGAGAGAGAGAGAGAGAGAGAGAGGAAGAAAATGGTGGGAGGGAGGGAGTTTTATGATAAAATGGATCTACTGGATCTTCTCAAGTACTGTTAGCCACAGGCAAACTTCCCTTGCCTTGACACTGATTTCTCCAGCATCAAGAGCAAACAGTATCAAGCCTTCAAGGGACCAAGGCCCTCCTTTCCCACTGATGCCCGACCAGTCCATACTCCTTTACATATACATATTCCATGACAGGTAAGGAAGGCATTCTTGTCAGAATGACATAAGACAGGCTCGGTCTTGTTAATGAAATAAAAAGGGGGAGAGGCGGAGAGCCTTTGAGGCTGCTTGGTAAGAATTTGACATGGGCCAAGGACAAGGAAATGGGCTGTTGGCAGGAATATAACATTGTCCAAGGAAAAGGAAGTAGGCTTCAGGAAGGAATATGACATTAGGCTAGAATAAAGAAGTAATTTCAGGCAGGAAACTAAATTTTAGGCTACAACAAGGAAATATGCTTCAAACTTGAAAATGACTTTTGGCTAGGACAGGGAAGTTGGCTTAGATATTTTGGTTATCCTGACAAGCCCTTAGAAACAGTGATCATGGGAGTATTCACGTAATTGTGTTTAATGCCTTGCTTGTTCTTTGAGTTTACTGTCTTGCTTGTTCCTTGACTACTTGCATCTATGGTATTGCTAGACCTTAAATCTAGAACTGACCTTAATACTTGCATGTAATTAAAATGGTATAAAAGCAAAAAGGAGGAGGGGGGATGAGATAGGGGGTTCTAGGGAGAGGAAATGGGGAAAGAGGATGGCAATTGAAATGTAACTAAATAAAATATCCAATAAAAAAAAGGGCAAACAGTAGCAAATGCCTCTTATGAGACACTAGGAACTCATACCACTTGTTATAATCCTTTGAGGGAAACTGAGGTTGAGAAAAGGCTGTGACCTGCCTGAGGTGACTTCACTAGGAGAGGTGACCACAGGCTGTGTTGCTTCAGTGCTTTCCAAGGACACATTTGCAGTCTTCTGTCCCAAAGGAACTGCCCATGTTCTCTGGAGGCCTCCCATGGGTCATGAGCCTGTCAGCAGGCTCAGAGTTCTAAACCTTACAGGGCTCATTAGCAGCTGGGTGACTCTGGGAAGTTGTTTTCCTCTGCATCCTTTTCCACCTCCTTCTTTTGCTTCATTTTTGAATTGAAAAGATATGTCAATAACTCAAGCTAAGGTCTACTGTCTTAGTGAACTTCAGAGTGTGAGGTACAACACTGTTAGCAACAAGAACCAT